TTTTTTTTTTCCGCGTGGTGTCAGTTCAACTTATTTGGGGCGCACACGAAACAAAAACGAAAAGAGTGCATCTGCCCATGAAAGGTGGAAAAGTACACTCGTTACTATTTCCAGCAAACCCACCAACCTGGCCATTTTCTGCAGGAAGATGCACTCGTTTCGTTTTTCGTTTCGTGTGCAGTGCGGCGACGCCCTTGGTTGCCTTCTGGAGCAGGTGCATTCCCAAGTTCCCAGCGACGCCCTTCTGCCAAAGGACAAAAAGGGGAAAAAAAAAAAAACCGAAAAAGAAAAGAACAGACAACCCCCTCGCATCCCCTCCCGCCCTGCTATCTCGTCCGCCCTTCCTCCCAAAGAGGAGACAGTGGACGCGAACCGCAACGGACACGCACGATCTACCCAGCCTACCGGTCTTAGACTTGCGGGCGACCAGACCCTTCCACGTGAATTTCGAAAGCCCGAAAAGACCCCACCAGAGCTTCATTGTGGTCGACGACAACGACAAAAAGACAATCGCACTAAGCGCAGCCTTTTGGCTGCGAACTGGACCCTGTCTAGACGGATCGAGGTGTGCGGGCTTGTATTCATGGCTGAAAGGAACCCTGATTCACTGTCCACTTCCTTCCCCTGCTGTCTGCAGCTCGGCTGGAAGCCACACACTTCCGTAGGGAGCCATTCATTTATCATCTTTCATTTCTTTTCAGTCCGTTGTAGTAATGCGGCTCTTGACAGGCCTGTGTCCCTCGATGCTAGATGGGTCCTCTTCTCCCAGGTCTTCGGCCCGAAGGCAAGGCCGTTGGACTTCCCTATTGTCAATGGGTTGACTGTGGAAGTGTTACTCGCCTTGATGAGCGCCTGCCTTTGACGGTCTGTCTGGATACGGAGGCCTTTCCATCATAAAGAGGGAAGATGGGACGTGTTGGGATAGGCTTTTTTTTTTTGTCTTCTTTACCGCCGATAACGGCAGTTGTACATTGTGAGATGAATGGGGGCTAGGTTAGTAGTAGCTACGTGGAATGTTCGTGGGATTCCCAGTAGGCTGTCAAGGAATAAGAAAAAGGAGATGGAAAGTTTGGTTGCAGCCTTGCAGGTACCGTGCAGAGTAAGCGAAAGGACACAGGGCAATGAGATGGAGAACCGCTGGGCAGAGCAGCTTGGAGTCCTGTTGGATTCCAGGCAAAGACTGCACTGGTGGACGGGTGAAAGCAGGTTGAAGAGATGGAGATGGAGTGGCCACCTACACACAGCATCTTGTTACCCAGTCGCTTTTGGTAGGCATAGCACCGTATCTTTTGGCATGTGGGACAGTGCCTGCGCTGTCAATCCCCGGTAATACGGGCAATCAATGCTGGCAGGAGAGTGTGAAAATCAGCTTTGAAGATGTTCAGTGGGACTCTGGACCCGTTTTCCCGCAGGTGCTGCTCCCAACCAATAGATTGGAGCAACCAGGCGGCCCGCTAGGAGGGGAGGCTCATATCACTCCCCCTAGCGTGGTAGCATGGTAAGAAAAAAAAAAAGGGGGTGGATGTGTTATGTTTGTACGAAACAAAGATAAACCAGGTTTGTCCACGCAGTACGGTGATTTGGTGGAAAGGTCAACAGGTTTGGTCCCTCGCACATGAGACCCAAGGCGGGATAACCATCCTCTTTGCCATGCATGACCTTTCAAGTGGATATCATAGACTGGTTCTTTGACATGCGGAGCTGGTGGGCATGTGATACGCTAACCTCACGCCCCCTCGCGGTGTCCCGTATGGGGTTGCCGATCAGAGTCTTAGGAGGGGCGTGGCCGAGGATTTTTGGCCGTAAGGGTTGAGTCTCCCGGACGGAACGGGAGGCCCTCGTTTCATGCCAGAGGTTTTCTCCGGAGTCGAACTGTCACCGCGAAGTCCCGTGGGGGTTGGATCACTCCGAGACGATAAAATCAAAAAGGTTTCCGCAAAAACGAACTGCCGTCGTGCATCAGGACGGGAAAAGGCATAAAGGGGGGAGGGCAATGGCGGCGGAAGACAAAACTTCAGCCGTCAGGGGTTTGGGGGATAGGTGGTGGGTTCGAAGCCTTCAGGCCTCATCCTCGGTTCTCACGAAGAGGCCGAACCCTCGGGTCTTTGCTGTAGAGGAGGTTGGTGCGAGGCCGTCAAGCCTCGGCGTCGGACTCACCGAGTCCGCACGAAAGTTTCCAGGAGGGTAACGCGGCGGGAGGACTCGTCGGCATCCGAATTCGAAATTGCGAGGGCAGCGTCCCTGCACTACGGGAAAGCTCGGGGAAACATGTCGCTCCCTCGTAACCCAGGACCAGCCGTCGCCAAGAACACGAGCCCCCCTGGCGACACCAGCGACAATCAAACTGCGGGCGCCACGCGGCGTGAGCGGCCGACCAGGGCAACACCGTTAAACCCGTGTAAGGCAATATTAGAGTCGGGGAATCAAAACGATCAATCAGGACAAACCCGTTCCCCTTTATATCACACGCCCGAGGCGGGTCTCGCCAACACACTTGCTCCGTCCGCCTCAGCGCGCGCCGTACGTCCGCATCGCAGTAGACGCTGTCGTCATCTGTGATGGGGAAGGTCAGTAGCGAGATGAGGCACGTGATGAACACTAGCAAGATCCCGCGTTCCCGGTCATCCGAACCAACACCGAATCCATACAACAATCGACGCAATTCTTCTCTCTCCAAAGTGGGTGCGTCGAGGGAAGATGATGAACTTTTAAGCTTTCTCCCCTTGCGGGGGCGTCAACCGTCCGCACGGACGCAGGCGGTTGACGTCACCGGTACAGGGAGAAGAAGCCCCAAGAGCGACGACTATCAGTTCAAAAAGAAAGGCGAGCGAGAGAGAGAGAGAGAGAGAGAGAGAGA